GCGAGACATTTTGCATTATTTTGACCGCACAATGCAGCGTGTATGTTTGTCAAGCTTTAGGAACTGTAAATTCTTACATTGTCAAGGAGCTATATACTAAACCCAATGTCTACATCGTTACTTCCTTCATTTCCCATTACTACCTTCCCATCCACTCACATAAACATCAAATACAATACTGTATTTGAGACAAGCTATAGAGTCACTTTGGATTTCTATTCTGTGTGTACCAGGCGACATGTCACGCAGCCTGCGCCGCCTTACAGACGCGTCACGGCCGGCCGCCTTTACCATACAGCTCGCGTCGCGCCCATTCATTCATTGATTCATTCGCTGCGGCCATTCATTCGTGCGTCGTAATGAGATTCGGTTCGCCCGCCGGATTGCATGCCTTATTTGCTGGTGGTGGAACCGCAGACGGCTACGATCACGACGCACAACTTTCTAAAGCCATAATTGGCTCCCAGCTCGTCAGAATTAGGGTCTCGACTGGTCACGGTTTGCTCGCTTTTCTTAGTCTCAGTTCAGAGTCAGCAATATTTGAAACCAGACCATTTTGTGAAAGAAACCGGCTTAGTTTGCACATTTGAGGTTGTATACAGCTACCCATTACATGACGATCTTTGAATACCCGATTAAGTGTGCGTCATGCGCTGTGATATTACAATCAAACTCGTAGCTCGCCGTTTTCTTTTTTCACTTCGGCCACCACGCCACTCTCACCTTCATTTCCCGGTTCCCACTGCCCACCGTTCGGTCAGTCACAGACCGATCGACGGTCCACCCCACCCGCCCCACTGTCGCCGCCTGATCTACACAGCGCTGCGTGCGGTGCCGCCCCAGGTGCTCCGACACCGGCCGCATATTTACGTTGGAGGGACAGTGTTTTGGATGGCCCTGGAGCGGCGCCAGCCTGTCGTCTTACCAGCCCACAATAGCTACTGTGTATCTGTCGCCGCGGTAGCGCCGGCCCGCTGCGGCGGTATAGGCAGTGACGCGTCACTGATGTCACGGAACTGCAGGAAGGCTACGAGGGTGCCGCCGTGACACCATGGAGGCTGAGACGGCTCGCTGAAAGGAGCAGGGTTAAAGAAGAATTGGTAAATCACAAGCTCCAATCGTATTGTGGGCTAAATTCGACAATGAGCAGCACCTAATGCGCATAGCTCAAGCAGCTGTTGGCAAACATTTAGTAAGTTACATTAATGCAAAATTAAATTGCGTTGTTTGGCGGCCTGTTATGATAAGTGGAGTGAATTGTTGTGGTTTAACACCTTTCCGTACAAAGCATTATTAACCAAACAGTGCTGCGATGGCCAGTATCGCTTCCAACCTACACAGAAACAACTTCCCTTGATCTTGCTGTTGTAAGAATCTGATATGATATTGTTCCCGGCTCGGCCGTTCGTGGTGACTTCACAGAACATTATCTATTGCCATTGAGCTATAGATACCTGGCTGAGTTGGATTATTTTGCTATAGGCTGGCACGACGTTGCGCAATGACTAACAATTGCTATTAATAAATTCACAAATGACGAATTACTAAAAAGCCTGAACTTTTTTATCAAACATCGTTTGAAAATGTAGATAAAGCATTCTTAAAGCATTCCAGAAAACAAAATGTTTCAGAAGCATCGGTGAATAAAAATCCCACAATTTACAGTTCCTACCAATAGATTAGTGATGTCACTGACCTAGATTGGCTAACGTCACCGGTGTGTAGGACGCATGTCTGTCGATGTCGACATTCGATGCCCGATCGGTACGATGACAGGCAACCCGGTCCTCTGCTCTGCTTCGGTCAGCAGACAACAATTACTGTTTTTGAACAGCGCGCAAGAAGTGTTAGCATAGGCGAGCGTGTTGGCTCGCTGAGTCATCCGGCTTACGGGATCCTTTGAAGCGCACCTTTGTTTAGAAACCAGTCTTGGCGAAGTTTTTGTAGCGCCGCTGCGCCGGAAAGCCACGACCGAGCATCCGCATGTGAGAAACCAGGGGAAGGACGACTTATTTCAGGAGAATGGCGTCACAGTCACCGGCAAAGACCAGGTTTAAACAATGACGCCGCGAAGCAGGGCGAGACAAATCGGGACTACGCAAAAACTCCGCATTTCTCCTAACTAGCTGGCCGGCAGCCCGTCCGACCGTTTTTGACCATCGATCTCTGTTTACAAACAACGTCGCCGGCCGGCTCTTTGGGCCGGCCTGGACTGAGGCCTTGAGTCTCATCTATCCAGCCTGGCCCTCCCTCTGATTACCCAGCTGGCCTGCACAGTGCACAGCTCGGCCGCCTGATTGGGCCTCTGTCACCGTGTTTATGCTTCATGGTCGCGGCCGCGCCGGCGCACCCGCTGCAGGAAGTGATGACGGGACTTGACCGGCCATTTAGAGAAGGCGAGGTGGAGCTCTGAGAGCCGCCCTGTCCTCTGGCTTCTGTGCATAGCCGGCGCGAACGGCCGGCGGCTGGTAGGGCCGGGAAGACCGCTCAGGCCTCAGGGTTGCAACTTCTTTATAGAATAGCCTATGTTGTAAGCACAAAGACCTTGCGACATTAATAGAAAAGTTACGTATAGAGTGGGCGCGGTAAGATTGGGAAAATATCTGACGGCCATCCAAGTTTCACTTTCCATCAACAAACACAACTTTTTGGGCTTTAATCCCCCCCCCCCTAAGTATTTTCTTCCTCATAACTTGGTTGTGGCTGAGTTTGGTCAGTTGACGGATGGCGGGTATAGGTAGTGAGCGTGTACAATGAATGCTGAAGGGCGAACAGGGCATGGTAAAAATATGCAGCGAACGTAGTATCTATTTACAATTACATATATGGCATTGCCGATCTCTGTGCCAAGAGCCATCACTGAACTATTTATAGTTCACTGATATAACAGAGCTGTGCTGTATAAAGCGGCTCACAGCGTTTGCCATCCAGCAATCCACTGACCATCTGCGATTCAGCGCGACCGGCGTGACGGCCCATCGCGTGACGCGCCGCACTACCCGTGACCCCAAAACTGTGACGTCACAAGGACTCGGGCGGGGTCGCGGCGGCTCGGGTTGCCCCACACACGATACGAAGCTGACCGAGGGGCTTCCTTCGGTCACCGCGCCACCGATAGACACGCCAAAAGAACCCGTTTTGGGCACACAATGCGGCGATTATAGAAACGCACACGGATATGTCACGGTCAGAATGCGGTGTGGTGACTGAAGATACCCACTTAACCGCTTCCGCAAAAATTTTAACTTATCGGAAGTGCGGCAATGTGGTAATATACCCCGTCAAATCCCTGACATCCCATATGAAATTGCCGCAAATGGTGAGCGTTCTTTGATGTGCACTGCCTTGGCCAATTCAATATCAATTGATGTTTCCATGAATCAGACCACAGTGGGCTGGTAGTGGTCAAGTAACCTCTAGAGGATCTATAACAGTTCCGTTACAAGGCGAAGCCCTCAGCTCTTCAATGAAACCTTGCATCACATATACACTACCGGAAACAGTCTGCTGCAAAATGCAGCATGTCCATACATCTTCAATGAATTCCCCAATGGTACAAGTTCAGAGAAACAGCTGATCGACTCCATGGGTAGTTCATCAGCCGCTCGAAATCATATCATCGTCCCATGATTTTAGCTTTTAGAAATATCTCCTGTCACCCGAAACCAAAAAGATTCGGATCATCACCAATACGGACTCTCCCAAAAGACTCCGTCCTGACCGCCTTTGACTCGCCATTCCCGATTTGGCTCGGCCCAGTACGGTAACACACCGCACACGCCGCGGACCCTAACGAGCACGGATTTTTCTCGCGTGCGTGCCTTTCCGTGACCGATCTGAGGCGTCCCGCGGGGTGCATATGGTGCTCTCCTGCTCTGAGCCAGCAGGGTCCGCGGACCGCCGCCGTGGCATCTCTCGCTGGTGTAACGGTCATACCGCTCCGTCATCCGTGCCGCCGATCCAGAGATCACGTGACGGCAGGTTCACTGCTTCCGGGCTGACGCCACCGGTCAGGTGACGTGAAATATGGACAGTCCTTGGGCTGACACTAGCGGTCTTATGACCAGCGTAGGGGTTCAAGGGACAAATCGGCTTTCTTGATCGATAGTGAGCTGATGCAGTGTTACAAAGATGTTGAAACGTACCGCCAAAGATGGCCGACGGCGTATCAATTGGCAACTTACTCATGACAATGATGTCGACGGTGCGATTTCCTTATAACACACCTGATCGACAAAGTAAGTGCAATCGATAACAATGAAACCGTTTTAGCCATGCGAACTTTTAGCTTGTGTCAAACATTTTCCTTGTGCTGATATAATACGGATTACAACTTTCGCCACCCCATCGCGATTAATGGACATTCTGCGTCACAATGACCCATAACTGAGTTCTACGACTTCCCTTCCTACCCTCGTAAAGCCAACAAAGTATGTTGTCCCATCGTCTGTGAACTGTTTACATCACCTCTCAGAACGCCGAGTCTGTGGATTTTACTGTTCGTTTCTGACTTCAGCGGCATGATCAGACACCGACGCTGACCCCACGCTGACCCAGCGTTGACCTTCGACCCCTGACCAGGCACGCTGTGACATTTCCTGTGACTATTTGCCTCTGACCGCTCCGTGATTTGTCAACTCGCCCGAGTTTGCCCGGCGAGAGTGAACTGTACTGACCGTGTGTATCGAGCGGTCTCGTTTGCATGGAACACATGGCGTGGCATTGACCTAACCGCTATAGTATACTTGGAAAGGCTCTGGGGTCAGGGCGGTAAAGGGAGAGCCCAGAAGTTATATACGCAGAATCGGAGGGACTATAGAGGGGGATGTGTTCATGTATACCTTGTTTCCTCAATGGACATGGAATCGACTAAATAGACTTAATAGACATGCTTCCTCAATATGGCAATATTCAAGTTAAGATTAAATGCTATAACACACTGTAACGGCTCTCGATTCTTCGGCCGTAACATGCGTGACCGTTGTTGGTTTCTCCTGCAGGGTGCTGGTGGGCGCGCCGCGCGCTCAGACGGAGCAGCCTGGTGTCGTGCGAGGCGGGGCCGTGTACCGGTGTGAGGCCGAAATTTTCGGACGGGCCCTGTCGTCCTACACCAACTGCCTGCAGATTCCGTTCGACATCAACGGTAAGCATGCGGCCAGTGGGCTGTGAGGACTAACTAATGCGCTCAGAGAACAAATTATCGGGAAGCAAATTACCAGAGTCTACTGCCCAGCACGCATGATCGTTAAGTTCTTAAATCACACAACCGACCTGGTGGTGAACGGCTTGGTCAGCCCCAGCGCTCTAACATGGACCACCTCACGAATTGCCGGCCTTGCACGAGAGTGGTGAGACATTGGACGAAGGACGACGTCTGTGGTCGCGGAGGAACAAGGCGTGCCGCCTATCCGCCGGTCACGAGGGACACGGCACCGAGGCACGACTGGGGCGGACGGTCGCGGGTGGCATAAAGATCTGAGGCATGACAGCCTGAGTGAGAAAATGGGCTGCGCAGCGATATAATTCTTTTCCGGGAGGGATCATACCCGGATATATATCCATGCACGTTCGTAGCATGTCAGCACTCAGCAGCGAAAATCTGGATGTGAAATAATGGCAACTTAGCGGCCCCCGGCTAAGAGGCGTTGGGCGAGGGCAGACAGATGCCGGAGAGAGCGAGGGAGAGGGAGGGAGGGTGGGAGGGAGAGAGATAAGCGGAGCGGGCGGGCTGGGGCGGGAGGCACGAGGGGAGCGCGGGATATAGGACAGTCAGAGACGAGCCAGCGAAGGGGACGGACCATCGGTCATGGTCTCAACAATTTTTTTGGCTTCTCTCATTGTGTGACACTCGGAGTGACAGAGTGACAGAGAGGCTATGAATAGTGACGGTGAAAGAGGGAGTGGTGGCATGGTACTCAGAGGGGCGGTGCCTTGCGATTCAGCGCAGCGCAGGAGCTGGGAGGCAGAGAATCAACCGCCTGTGACGACTCATGACGCGAGGTTTGTCAGTAGATGCCACTGACTACAGGTAAGCGAAGGGCCGAGTTCGCTGTTGTGTAACTGGCCGGGTGCTGCGACAGCTTGACGGGCGCAGTCACCTGCGCTCTCGAGAGCAGGGATGCTTTTGTGGGCAGACCGCGAGGGCGCTACTTTCCAGCTCTTGGGAGCTTATTGTCATGGCTGTCAGCTGTCGATGCATAATCAGCGGGTAGCAGATTCGCGCGACTTGCGTCATTGCGGAGTCACGCGCTGTCTAATCTGGATGGTGTTGTCCGACATCTCGTGCTACAAATTGAATAGGCTGGCAATATCGGCTTGGGAGAGACGGTCGTGGACATTTTTTTTCGTTGCTTCGTCAAGAGCTTTTTGACGCTTGAAGCGCGCCACGGCGGCAGCTGTGGTCGTGGGAGCGCTCCGTGAGGACCCAGACTGTGGGTTAGCGCCTGCCTGGTCTCCTGTTGTCACAGTCCGGTGACTGGTTGCCAGCGCGACTGCCGACTGCGGCGGGGGAGCGGGACGGGGTCAGACGTCCCTGTGCATATGGAGTGTGGCAGCGGCTGAGGGCCTGCTGGTTGGTCTTTCAAGCCTTTGGGGGCTGGTGGGTGCGGTGCGGTACCCTTGGGGGCGAACGCGGTCAGTGACTTGGTGACCTCGGGTGACATTTTCAGGGCTGATATCAGGTTTGGCCCGTGACCACCTGCACCCTGGTATCGCTGCGCGCTGCAACGGTGCAGCGACGCTTAACCCCTGCGCGCCGGCTGAGCGTGCGGAGCCGGGTGGGTGACGTCATCGAAGCACGCCGCACGCAGTTAGATCTAGGCGCCGGGCCGGGGCCCTGTTTACGGCCGCTGCCGGCGTGCGCTATCACACGTGCTATTGGGTTTCCATGACATCCGTACATCCGTATCTCCAACCCTGCCAAAATGTCGTCACATGTGTGACTTCAGCTCGCAAAATGCGATAGCAGCGTGGTAGCAGCATCGAGTGAAATGCCGCTCAAAAACGGGAATGGCCCTCCCTTTGTCCGCGCGGTCCACGGGCCCGCCGGCGCCGCGGCGCGGCGGACCGGGCGCGGCGGACCGGGCGCGGAGACCCAATAAAGTAAACAGCCCGGCCTTATCGGTCACGGTGTCGTATGGCGGCGCCCGGCCGCATGGCTCACAGCTGGGGCATGGGTGAATGTCCGCTGGAGTCATGGGACGGGCAGTGGGACAGGGCCAAGGAGAAAGGAACATGGTGTTTGAGGGAGAGTCGAGGGGGCAGTGACCCTTCCGGAACGGGGTGATCGTGGTGGTCCCAGATGTTGTCTATTGAGTTTTTTTACAGACCTAAAGCGCGCGCAGCGGCGCGCCGTCGGTTCGCAGGCACACCACGGCTACCTATCGGCTGTCGCTGTTCCGGACCACGCGGGCTCTGACGTGCCCTCGTCTTTGCGTGGCTTGACCGCCTTTGCCGGGCGAGGAGCAGCCGCGTGAGCGGTCGAGGGTCAGTTTGACCGAGTGGTGCGGGTCGCTGGTTGTTGGCAGAATACATGATGCGACGCCGCGGACCGATTAGTGGTGTCACCTGGGATTGGACCTTCGGCATTCCGATTTGTCTAATGTTCATTTCGGGAGATGGTTGAACAAAGGTTACACTGGCTTGCACAGCTTGAACAATCACTTGCTCGGGGGACGAGAAACGCTATTTCTTCTATCCCTGCTTCCTGGTTGATAAGAACGAGCTTCGACAAGCTTCGGCAGGGTGCGCTGAAGGAGCAGAGCGCCGTTGGCGACCGGGCAAGCGCCGCGGGATGACCGGGGGGGGGGGGGAGGGTGGCAGACCGCTACGGGCGCCACTATCGCGGGTCTGACGGGCGGCCGTGGGAGCTCTTGGGAGTTTCTTGCCCTTAACGGCGACAGTAGCTGTCCTAGCTCTCGAGCTTATTGCCCTTGAGGGCGGCTTGCTGCCCCTCGGGGGCGACGGTAGCTGTTACAGCCCTCGGGAGTTAATTGTCTTTGGGGCGACGATGGCTGTACAAGCTCTTGAGGAGCTTATTGCCCTTGGGGGCGACTGAGGCTGCACGGGCTCTTGGGAGCTTATTGCCCGTGGGGGGCGACGATGGCCGTACAAGCTCTTAGGGAGCTTATTGCCCTTGGGGGCGACTGTGGCTGCACGGGCTCTTGGGAGCTTTGCCCTTGGGGGCGACGATGGTTGTACGAGCTCTTGGGAGCTTATTGCCCTTAGGGGCGACGACGGCCGTACAAGCTCCTGGGAGCTTATTGTCCTTGGGACGACTGAGGCTGTACGAGCTCTCGGGAGCTTTGCTCGTGGGGGCGACTGAGGCTGCACGGGCTCTTGGGAGCTTGCCCTTGGGGCGACGATGGTTGTACGAGCTCTTGGGAGCTTATTCCTCTTGGGGGCGAGCTTGCTGCCCTGGGGGGCGACGGTAGCCGTACGTGCTCTTGGGAGCTTATTGCCCTTGGGGGCGACGATGGCTGTACAAGCTCTTGGGAGCTTATTGCCCTTGGGGGCGACTGAGGCTGTACAAGCTCTTGGGAGCTTTGCCCTTGAGGCGACGATGGTTGTACAAGCTCTTGGGAGCTTATTGCCCTTGGGGGCGAAGGTAACCGTACAAGCCTTTGGCTGCTTATTGCCCTTGGGGGCGACGAGCTTGCTGCCCTGGGGGGCGACGGTAGCCGTACGAGCTCTTGGGAGCTTATTGCCCTTGGGGGCGACGATGGCTGTACAAGCTCTTGGGAGCTTATTGCCCTTGGGGGCGACTGAGGCTATACAAGCTCTTGGGAGTTTTGCCCTTGGGGGCGACGATGGTTGTACAAACTCTTGGGAGCTTATTGCCCTTGGGGGCGACGGTAACCGTACGAGCCTTTGGGTGCTTATTGCCTTTGGGGGCGACGATGGCTGTACGAGCTCTTGGGAGCTTATTTTTTCCTTGGGGCGGGCTTTCTGCCCTTGAGGCGACAGTAGCTGTACGAGCTCTTGGGAGCTTATTGCCCTTCGGGTGACGATGGCTGCACGAGCGCTTGGGAGCTCATCGCCCTTGGGGGCGAGCTTGCTGCCCCTGGGGGGCGACGGTAGCTCTTGGGAGCTTCTTGCCCTTGGGGGCGACGTTGGCTGTACGGGCTGTTAGGAGCTTTTTGCTCTTAGGGGCGAGCTTGCTGTCCTCGAAGGTGACAGTAGCCTATGAGCTCTAAGGAGCTCACTGCCCTTGGGGGCGACGATGGATGGCTGTATGAGCTCTTGGAACCTTATTGCCCTTGGAAGGCGAGCTTGCTGCCTGCCCTCGAAGGCTTCAGCACACGTCTGAGCTCTTGAAGCTTGCCTTTGAGGGCGACGACGGCCGTTCGAGCTCTTGGGAGCTTATTGCCCTGGGAGCGAGCTTGCTGCCCTTGGGGGCGACGGTCGCTGTACGAGCTCATGTGAGCTTTGTCCTTGGGGTGACGATGGCTGCGCAAGCTCTTGGGAGCTTTGGCCTTGGGGCGACGACGGCTGTACGAGCTCTTGGGAGCTTATTGCCCTTGGGGAGAGCTTCCTGTCCTTGGGGGCGACGGTAGCTGTACGTGTTTTTGGTAGCTTAGCGCTTGCTGCCCTTGGGGGTGACGGTAGCCCTATTGCCCTCGGGGGCGACTGAGGCGGTACGAGCTCTTGGCAACTTATTGCACCTAGTGGCGACGACGGCTGTATGAGCTCTTGGGAGCTTATTGCCCTTGGGGCGAGCTTGCTCCCCTTGGGGCGACGGTAGCTGTACGAGCTTTTGGGAGCTTCTTGCCCTTGGGGCGGCCGAGGCTGTACGAGCTCTTGGGAGCTTTGCCTTTGGGACCGACAGCAGCCCTACGAGCTCTTAGAAGCTTATTGCCCTTAGGCGCAGCCACTGGGTGCGGCACTGTCGGGAGCCCCCTGGCGCTCGCCGGACGCCGCTGCGCCTGACCCTCAAGGAGCGACACCCAAGGCCGTACTTGGTAGCCGGGAGCGGCCTGGTTCTCTTCCCAGATGTGTGTGCTTTTCGCCTTGGGCGGGAGTAAGAGGTCCGGTTATCTTACCCGAGGGGTGTTCACGGGCACCGCACACTGCTGCGTGCGGTGTGTGCGGTACGTCCAGCAGGCGTGGGGGTAGGGGATGGGTAGGCGGCTCTGACGTCACGGC